ATGGAGTAGTGTCGTGAGAGCATGCCGGGGACGGGCCGTGACAAGCGGTGGGGTATCGCGGCGCGGACCTGGTCGGCCCAGCGGGTCGGCCGGCCGACCTCACGGCGAGCTGCCATCTCTAGTACACGCTCCACCTGCCAGTGTTTTCACCCCTCCCGTACAATCTGCTCGCTCGCTATTACACGAGATAGCACTTTTACAATTAACACAGCGTCCAACTAAGCGACGGTTTTCATCGAGAGACATGTTGGTTTCTGTTCATAAGCGTGGTCCCATCTCCCCTGTCCCTCCCCCCCCCCAACTTGGGGGGGGGGAGGATTTTATTCATTCTACCACCATCCCTCCTGTAAGCTACCGTATACCCGGGGGGGGTTGAAGGATATCCTCTTAAGTTACCAAACTCCCACCCAGGTTTACTATTCCCTGCAGAAAAGTTTTGCAACTTTTATTCGAATTGAAATACAAAACCAGAATCTCCTATAAGGGAGAAAATGGCTCGAGGTAGCTCAGAAGGGGGCCGACGTCAACTCCCGTGCGTTCTATGGAATCACCGAACGTCCTGCAGGATTTAGAGTCTATTTTCCACTGTTAAATATGAGTCTTAACGTGTTCAAATTATGCAAATCCCTATGAAATCTTTCTATGGTCCGTCTGATCTGTCTATAGAAACCTGCAATATCTGAAGGGAAGCACATTGTAGCACTGCTGAAGAGCAGATCGAGATATTTGTGGGAAGCTCTGGGCAGTGGATTTCTTACCATTCAAGTGCTGGCAAACGAGCGTCCATTAATACGGGCGATTCACAATAGTGCGCCTCCAAGAGTTTGAGACACGTTGGCCAGTCACAACGCCCGAAACCAGTCGACCCTTTCCAGACGCGCATTGGGTCGGCAGACCCAGCGTGGCCAGCGTGGATGTCAATTTAGCTTGTTACGTATTGGGCCGAAGACAATCCACTTGCCATTGTTGTTGGGGTTTTTTTTTTCGGACTTCCATAACAATCTGCTCAGAAACTTTGAGTTGACCTCAGCGTTCATCATAATTTGTCAAATAATATGAAAAGAAAAGAAGAATCTATTCCCTATTGTTCCCTTCCACCCATAAACGGAATGGAACGTGAGAACGAGAAAAATGCAGTGACGGGCATCTCTTGCCGCTTAATTCTTAACCGTTCAAAGACACATTCGGTTGGGCTAGAACCCATTCATCACCGGCCGATTTGCCCAGTTGTCGCCACGGTGGCCCCAGCTTCTCATCTCGCGTGCCAGCGCCGTGAAACTTGATCCACCCAGGGTTATAGCCGCTGACTGCTTCTTGTATGCTTCAGTTCACACATCTCCCCGGATGCAAAAAACCCGGGAATTTATTGTCTACCATTTCTACCTGCTGGTCAATGATTGTGACCAGACCAAGAACAGGTATGGCACACCTGATTGTCGTAAACTAGGATAAAATGAAAGAGCCCGCCTTCATGTTCTTTCGTTTTGTTTTGTTCTGGTTTTGTTTTTAACAGCTGCGGATTCGCAGAAGGGAACACATTAGTTTTTAAACTGAAACTCTGATATCTCTTTTGAAGCTGAGACATGGCTTATAGGGGCCATAGTAGATAATAAATTACTTTTTTGTCATAAGACTATTGGGTTTAACCGGGACTTATCTGTGAGGAAAAGTGCAAAAGTAAATTTGAGATAATTTGACGGAATTCAACTTTTACACGGCGTGAGATCGGCGCTATTTTACAACTCAAGGCAGTTTGAAGGACAAGGTCCTATACTTAAACCTTCTACAGCTTCCATACCGTTATGGATATGCCGATGGATTTTAAATCTAATCGTCCTGGTTACCCACATCGCTGTCGATTAAATTTTTCGAAATCGCTTAATCGATTTGAAATAAAATCCCTATTTTGAACTGAGAAACGTAATACAGCACCGTTACAAATTTTGGTTGAGTCAACTTGCAGTGGTAAAAAACAAACGGAACGTAGAAACACAGATTCTTAAGATCGAGGAATTCAATAATGGAACTTGCCGTGTACTGCTCCAGCGAGCGCGATAGCTCTTTCTGATCAGCAGGCCTACAGTGCAAGCGTTTTTGTCTGTTTTCTCCTCTGACGATGCGTGCCATCGGTCGGACGGCCCGGGCGTAGAAGAACAAAACGCCGCCGTGGGTCAAGTAAGATTTCTCTCATTAGGGCCGCTCCAAGAGCCAAGAGGAGCTTCTTGTTCGGCTCCGATGCGACGATAAAATTGCACGTTTCCAAGAAACCACCGCCAAAAAAATTAGTTTACAGCAAAATGAGCTGACGTGACGTCAAATTCGCTTCGCTGACACATTCGCCGCAAGTCTGAACTGGCCTTTATTAGGGGAAAGGCTAATTGATCATTAATTTTCCTTTTAGATGTTTCCTCGTTAAGGCCGGTTCATACTTCGCGCAAAAGCGAAAAAGAACGCGAATTTGTGATGTCGGATCAAATATTTGCGTTACGAATTCTCAATAGGACGAGCACATTTCAACTTGGGCGAAATTTCGCTGTAAATTGTTCTTGACGTCAGATTCGCTTCGCTGTCGCATTTGCCAGAAGTTACGAACCGGCCTTGAGTTTTTATTGATATTTAACCCTCTGGTGTAGTTCGACTCCTAGATCCACCTTTTCCTTTCTCTCTTTATTATTTCCCTAAAAAGGAAAGAAGAATTAAACTTCTTTCGGCAGTAGCCGGACCATGGCCTGCTGTCTCCTTGTGGGACGCTTGGACTTTCGATCAAGCGTGTTTCGTGCCAGAGGACCGCTAAGTCGAAATTCTTCGCTCAATTTGCAGAGAGGATTATGTGATCGGGACGGTATAAAAACGGCGCTTTTTCGGTCTTCTCCTCGGTGTGCGGCTGCCCTGATCGTTTGGGGAAAGAGAGGGAAAGATCATATGGGAGAAATTTGTGCCCTTAAATGATTGGCTTCGCATAATACTTTGAATGAAAAATTTAAGTTGACTAAAGGAGGATCATCATGAACGGTTGATAGTGGCCAGCCTGAAATTGAGTTCTGATTGCCATCAGCTGCAGCGAACGTTATAATGAAGATATAGTGATGTCTAAGCCCGAGTGAAATTGATTGAAGTCTAGGCCTATCAGAAAAATTCTTGAATGTTCGAAAACTGCTTTTTCTTTCTCCTTTTCCTTCGATTTCCTTCGAAGTATAACTGTCTCCAGATCTTGACGCAAAAAGTCCAGGGCACCCTTCTCTTTAAATACTGTCGGGTTTGTCGTGGCTTTCTTCGAATTAAATTGTTTTGAAAACACGCGCCATTGTTTACCCTTCTCTGCGTGACAGAAATCGCGCATAGTCGTGGCTCGATTGTTTTGACTACAAAAAATCCCAAACGTTCAAGCTGGCGAGAGCTGCTGATTCCTGATCACGGACGAAGTACAACAGCTTCGACAGTGTGGTACCTCCACAGCGGTGACGCCGCGCCGCCCACTCCTTTTTTCATCTTTGAGTATATGGTGTTGACCAGCTGAGTATGCATTTCGGTCTTTCAAAACGGCCCTTTTTAAAAAAGCGAAACCACTCCAGGTTATACAATTTGCATAAATTTCACTTCTGGAGCGAAGGTCATGATGACAGTGCCGTTGACTTGTTGCTGTGCGTCCAGTAGAACACGATGCTACGAGTTCAGTTCTGAAACCATTGCCCGTTAACAACGAAGAGATGGAAGCTCTCCAAAAACACGCAGAAACAAACTTACCCCGTCGAGTAGGCACGTACTGTACGATGAGACGGACCAAAAAGCAAAAACTACATTCGAAAGAGCAAAATATCATATTTTTTCCCGACAATTGTATTCCATTTCCGCAGTTAATGACTTACCTCCTTTGTGCCAATTTATCATGACGTTTTCCAACGTAGAAAGAAAGATCGGGACAGGAATCAACCTCAGTCTCCACGGCAACACTTCTTTATCCCTTAATAAGCTGATGCATTTCTTTGAATTCCACGAATAACACGTGCAAGATGAATAATTGAAATGAAAGGGGGAAAAATGCTGCTCATTTGGCCGCTATTTTTATTTGCCGTAGTCTGGTTTATATACTCAACACACCTTGATCCATCAGCGGCCGCCTCATCAGGGCCCAGCCGATGAGCTGCCTCTTAAATCATGGCTAATACGGGATAATTACGCGGGCTCGGCTGGCCCGTTGTTTTGGCCGGCTATTGTCGGTCTGTCGTTCCCTTCGACGGCCGTTTCTTGACCGTGGAGCACAGCCCTGGGAACGATGAGTGAGAACGATCAGAACCTGCTGTAAACTCCAAACCAGCGGGAGGAGAAACCAACCACCGTGGGGCCTGAACACATTTATTGTTGAAAAGACTGTGTTGCGTATAGAAAACATCGGAAAGCACTGATACATTTACTTCTTTTAAAGCAGACAAAAATGTACATGTACATGTACACGACACAAGACGAAAAATAATGTCGTGATATTGGAGCTGTTCATTTCGTACGAAAATTAACGAGTAGAGGGAACGTCCACGAAAACTAACCGCGATTTGTAATTTGATAGCACCCAGTTAATAAGTGAGGACTGATTTTCTGTGTTTGATTTCTGGGAGGAAAGGTCAAGGGCTAAAGGCCAAAGGTTTAAAGGTTCCAGCTCCCCAGCCTGTTTCGTTCTAAGCATCGTGACGTCATGACCATCAGTTGCGTGCAACCTGATATTTGTGGTATTCCCTACTTGTCCTCGAGAGGCAAACACAGTTTTTAAAGCAGGGTTCAAAAATGCAGTGACACTTTTTCCGAACACTGTGGCCGTGTCCGAAACGGGCTTCCAGAGCTACGGCTGGGTCTATTGTCTCCGCGTCTCCACACATTTCCAATGGAGCGCAGACCTGGACCTAGCTCTAGACAACAGATTCGGATGCAGCAACATAATTCTCCCGAATTGTTTGTTGGTCACTCAGCGACACGTTTGTTTATTTGTTTGCTTTCTTTGACCGCCACAGCATCTACTTCAGCGCTAGAAGCATCGGACACAAGCAAAGATCTGTACTGGTTTTGAACGAAGACCATCGGAGACGGACACCGACGATCAGCGACAGCCTTAAAACAATCTGCGGTGAGAAGCATTATAAGAACCAGTGCACCGGAATAGTTTAATTCGGCCAGGGCAGCGATCACAACGACGAGTGTAAACTAAAATCGAGGAGATGATCTTGTACATTCAAGGCAGACTATTTTAGTCTTGTTTCAAGGCGTTCTCCAGAAAAGGGAAACAGTGACTCGAAGAACCCAAGTGTTTTCTCTGGGCCGGCAATAAAATGCATCTTCGGTCTACTTTCTGTCTGTTACCATCACCCGATGTTATCACTTCTAAATTCATGGCGAATTTTCTTCATAGAACTGTGTTGTTATATATATTTAAAAAAACAAAGAAACCAAAGTGTACTGTACAGCATAATTATGTTATTATGTATTCTGTCCTTTTATTTGTACCTTGTCAAGGTAATTTGGAGGTTATCTCCATCTGTCTCTGTGTTTAAGTATTTATAACATATTGCCCGGGGTCAAGGGAGTTGACGGGGTCAAAGCTTTGTCGAACCGGGAATTGTTGAGATTCCATCGACAGTTTTGAATGAAAACCCCGGTTAAATCATTTGAGGTCTCGGTGTAGGCCTCACAGTCACGCAAAAGAAAAAAACAAATTCTCCCTGTTTTGTATGGATTTGCAATACGCCATTTAATTGTCGAACAAAATAAGGGATCAAACACATGTTCCCTGCAGATCGCGTGTTGAACGAGTGCATGGACGGTATACGTTGATACGTGGCCCTTTGTATACATTTCGTCGCCCAATTTGGTTCGTTTTGTCGGCGAAGACTTTTTTTTGGGGGGGGTTTCTGTCGGCTCGTCAATACATCACACGACATGCATTCCGCTCGCTCAGTCCTGGGTTAATGGCAAATCGGCATTTTTTCATTGATTCTTTTGCGCGTCTACAGAGGGGAAATCAGTCAGATGACTCAAACAGATCTCAGGAAAATTGACAGACGGCATAAGAGAGATAAAAATTCATTTTATTCTTTTCTGGCGAAAGTGGCTTTATTGCTTATGGACAGACTTGTAGTCTCCTCGCATTGTGAACCAAGTACATCGTTAAGAGCTCCCTTTCCATCGTTTTTCTGCTTAACTGGAGAGACTCAAAATATTTGACCCGACAATCCTAAATTATTTGAGTTCAATCCATATTCGACCAAGCAGTCACTTATTTATCAATTTGCTTACGATTTTATTGTACTAATTTAAGATAATAAAGAGTACGGCTTTGCGGTTAACAATTGCTGTTTTTAAAAGCAGAGAAACAAATATCTATTTAAGGACGCATGATTGTTTTCAGATTGCAAGAAAATAATCTGCAGTAATCTGCTTGAACAAGAGATTATATATATGTAAAATTTGGTGTTTTCCCGGGGGCAATATTTAGAGTCATATTTCGGTTGGTGTACATTAATGTATATAAGTATAATTTCACTTCCTGTGTTGTCTCTCCCCATCGTTGTTTTTGAAACAAGACACGTTGCGTCCAGAATTTTGATGGGTGAAAAAAAAAATTGACGCGGAATTTTAATGACGTTTTAAGATGTTCCTTTTGGCTGGCCGTTTGTACGGGGCCGCAGCCGAGACGATTTTTATCTGATGTTTTGAGAAAGTTTTTTCCCCCATATTTCTTGTTTTGAATCAGCTTTTGTACTGGTAACAGAGTTCACGTTAAAGTGTAGAATATACTTCTGTGTTGTCGGCGTTCGCGGTTGTTTAATTAAATGTTTTGCATTCGTTACCCACCGTGCTGTTCATGAGGAATGGAAGTTCATGAATTTAAACGCTGTATTCTCTTCTGCAGCCATTGTTATTTATTGTTTGGTTTATCTTGAAGTTGGCATTTGGCAAGGACACAATGTTTTGGGGCAGTTGCCTGGCAGCACCTGTTACCGCTTTTTTTTTTCTCTTTTTTTTTTTTACTGTGTCATTTAGCATTCACAGACAAACAGTCTTTTGTATGGTAACAGTTCTTTTGATTTCATGCTAGCCTCCGTGACTTACAAGTAATCTTAAGCAAGTATTAATGACTGGGATAACTCGGTGTGAAGTCGGAGATGTATGCAGTTAGAGAGGTGACAAAATCTCGATTTATTTGGTCAGCAGGAGCAGTTGTTTTCATTTGCACATTTTATCGTTAGACCAGATACGACCTCAAAATAAGTGACCATTGGGTAATACCTTATGTTCTTATTTTTCACGCAAGCCGACCTGTAACCTTAAGAGATCGTGAACGGCGATAAAATCTATCCAGAATGATGTACGTTTTCATTGGTCTTGGATTCGTCTCCATCATAATACTTTTTAAAAGGGAAAAATTCCAAGCAGGAATTTGTCATTAAAGCGTCAAAAAATTCATGAACCTGCGAGTCATTTTCTTCTCAATCGTTAATGGCTTATTTTGGTTGCCGAGAGTGTCTTCGATGGTCGTGAGCCATCTGAGATGGTTTCCCCCAAATTGGGTTACGAAACGTGAAGAGCGCCCCCATACGCCTTACATTTGGATTTGATGAAATGCTGGAAGTCAAACTGGAACAGCAGGAATGCAGGACAGGGCAGATTTTATATGAGTGTTTTAGAGAAGTCTCCATTTTGAGCCGCCTAACCAGTTTCAACGTTGTCTCCTATTCGCTTTCTAAGTCCCAACATCTATGAACATTTCGGGATTGTCGTATCTTCTCCAACCCGCACCAAGTACCCTGAACATCACAGACCACAAAGGTGGCTACATTATTAGGTGGGTATAAGGTATTTGAAAAGTTTAAGAGCCGAGCTGGAAAATGCTGGAAGCTCTATGGCTACTTTTTGGCCGAAAGTGCTAGGCTAGCTAAACTTAAATTTGTGAGATTTCAGTTTTGGTTGAAAATAATATTTAAATTTCCTTGAAACTGCAAACGGTACTCTACTGAGTCCAGCAAAGATAAACCAACGTCTAACAAGCACCTCGGAACTTTTTTCTGCCCAAATACACTTGGAAAAGGAAAGGACCC